CTACAAAGCTTGTTTCTAAGTTAGTGTGTTGGTATGAATGCCACTTAAATGGTAGCCAGCCTTATTGAGAATTCTTCATAATGCTTGTCAGGTGCCTTCCTTGTATGGTAACACAGAAGAGGCTTTGAATTCTCTCTTAACCCTGTCGCTATTACTACCACTAGTAATGGGATTATTATTAATAACACCTGTATTACTACTACTACCATTGCTAATAATCATGTTTTATAAAATTAGAACAAGACATATATAAGTGAACAATATTGTTCTCAATTAGATCCTCTTCACGCTTTACTCTAATACAAATAGCTTAACAATATATAAAACGTAAACCAATCATGTAGATTTGTCGGTTAACGTGATAATTTCTAAAAAATAACTGGTAATAATAATGATGGGCAGTGACTAGCAGTGGAATCCAGGTGATAATAATACAAATAATAATAATGATAATGATAATGTTGACTAAAGCACATGCAATCTAGATGATGATAATGATGATGCCAAGAACCTAGAAAGTAGCATGAAAATGTAGACAGTGCGATAATGAAAATGAGTCAAAAGCTTGAGAAAATGAAGATTATGCAATACTGAAGGACAAGGTAAGTGGACAAACAAAGCCTAGATAAATACGGTAAGTATATATAAAAGAGGTAGGGGAAAAAACTTAATGATAAATTCATTAATTAAGTATTCCCTGACCAAGAAAGAGATAAGGGAGGGATGTACAAACTTCTTATGGATACAAAGACTAGGATTATTAGCTCGAATCCCCATAGCTTGATGTATCTGTTGTAGAAGACTAGTTTAAATACGTTTCGAAAGATGAGGTGGTATGGCGTGAATAAAATCGTGAAGGGATTTTTCTTATCTACCAAGTGACAACTGTCAATGAGGTGAGACAAAATGGAACTTCTTGTGGATTTATTTGTCCCTTTCCCAATCACGAAAGTAGATGGTCAGCTACACGTCGGTTAAGTTGTCTAGTAGTACACCCTTTATAGCTTTCTCCACAGGAGCAGCTAAATTTGTCAATACACAGAGAAATGACAAAAGTAGATACCCTTATTTTTTGGTGGACAGGAAAATGATAGACAGGGTTTTGGTCCTTTTAACAGCTCTGGAGAGTCTCTGATATAAAACGTCTCCGGCTACATGCCTATTAAATAACGATTTCATCAACAACGGTTTATTTTGTATGGTAATAATTCCAGATTTGTTTCCCCTGGCTTTGTCCATGTGTCTTTTTATGAAACTGTTAGGATAGCCCATTTCAATCAATGAATTACGAATATATTCTAACCCCTTCTGTACTAGATCATTCGAACATATTCTTCTCAATCTGTGTTAGTGAGACATTTAATCAGGTTCGCTTTGTACCGAATTGGTACATGACTAAGAAAATATTTATACTGACTTATAGATGTGATCTTCTTGTATTAGAAGTATCAAGTACATATCTGGTATCTGTAATATATATATATATATATATATATATATATATATATATATATATATCTGTGAACTGGGTTAGCTGTAATCTTATCTGCTTTGAAATTTCTTAATCTTAAACTGTCTTGTATCCTGTCAGATAATAGTTTAAAGTATGTGATTATGTAATTCTGTTGTAATAACCAGCTGATCTAACGTTGCATAAACTCCAAGATCTACAAGCGAAAACTAAGAGGTTGACAGAAGAGGCAGGTGAACGTAGATAAGATGGAGATGATGAAGATGCCCAACCACCACCAACAACAATCAGTCACCATGAACGGGGAAAATCGGAACGACGTGGTCTCTTTCAACTACCTACCTACCTAGACAGGTAGCATCGTTTCAACTACAGATGGCACAGGCAGAGATGACGATGTTGAAGCCATCCGCCATCGGAAACACAGCAACATAAGCCTTCCTGCATTCATCTGAAATAATCAGTGTGCAGATCTACTGCACTGCACTCAGCATAAAGCGTGAACAGCATCCGGATTCTCAACACGAATTCATTCAACTAAGTCAGTGTTTCTATGTGATGCTCCACAGACTTCGTACCTTATTACGAAAAGCATTTCTAACAAACTACAGACATACATCACATCACATCAACAGCTGCCTCCTATGCTCACTCCATACTGACACTTAAGATCAGATCACATGACAAGAATAATAAGAATAAACAACAAGCAACTCTGGTTGGCCCCGCAACCAACCAACCAACCAACCAGGAATTTATCGCGCAATAAATATGTATAAGAAAGTGGGGAAGACCATTCAGACATCACGTGTCAGGCCAGGCCGTCAAGTGGAACCAAGATGGGAAACGAGGGGTTGGGTGTCCGATGTGAGGGTGACATGGAGGAGATGGTGTGAAGATAAAATGAAAGCTTATGGGCATTGGTACTACAGACATTCATCAACAACTGCCTTCGCTGGTTCGCTACTGAAGATCAGATGGCATAGCCAGAAAGAATAAGCAACAAGGAACTCTGGGAACGAACCAACCAAGAACCTATCGCTCAACAAATATGCAGAAGAAAGTGGAAGTGGAGATGGATTGGGCATACACTGAGAAGGCGGACTGGGGACATCACACGTCAGGCCAGTCCCTCGAATGGAACCCAAATGGGAAGCGACGAGTTGGGCGTCCGAGGTGAGGGTGACATGGAGGAGATCGTGCGAGGAGGAAATGAGAGGTTGTGTGGAGTCGTGGAGCCAAGTTGAAAGAGAAGACTTCAGAGAAGAGAGTGAAATGGCGACGTACAACTGAAGCCGTATGTTCCACTAAGAACCCAATGGAGAAATAATAATAATAATAAACCGACTAATCTATAAAATAAACTGATGTCATTTTATACAGTGAATTTAGTTTCTCTCACTATGTACAAACTAACGAATGAGACCAAAGTATGTGGAACTACTAGGAAACATACATAGTCACCCTTATAACTAACTCAAACCAAGCGAGATGATTTCTACAGCTTTAGTGATATTATACTACATCTTTGTGTTCTTTGATGATTGTGACTCACATCACTTAGTATCGAAATGATATATACTGTCATTGAAATGCTTGTGTTTGGTAAAAGATTAATCTCAGACACCTTTGTTCCTATAACACTGAATCGTTTATTGATTACTATGGATTGGTCAGTATCTTCACTACAATAGTTTCTGTCCTGTCAACTATAAGCATGTGATCTAGTCATGATGCTTTTCACCAGAATAAGAATGTTATGCTCGAAAGACAAACAGGAAGAAGAATTTAGTATCATTGAGAAAGCTGTTGTAGGGAATATATATATATATATATATATATTCGAAGAGATTCATCATGAAGCATAGAGACCCAACCACCGAACTGTTGAAAAAGAGAAACCTGTTTCCCATTGTCTAGCATTCAAGGGTGATTAGATATCTAAAAGAATAGACAGAAGAATAAAAGGTTCAATGAGAAGTTTCCTTGCTGATAGACTGATCTCAGTTTACAATACGTTATGCTCAATAACACAGTCGAATGTAGATAAAATACCGAACCCACGTCACCTTCAATTGTGTATATCTATCAATTCATCTGTGGTTGTGCAAGTAAGTACATAGGAAGGACTGAAAAAAGGGCGTTTTCTTGGCATTTTGATCCATATCCCGAGAAGTTCGTGTCTGAAAGGTAGCAATCGCTAGGCATCTGATGGAAACAGGAAATCAAACAGATGTTTCTCAATCCTTCAGGATAATCAAGAAACACAGAACGCCACATTTGCAAAAGCTGTCTTCATCCAACATTTTCAACCTTACCTATGTACTCAGAGAGAGACTGTAATTGACCTTTCTTTATCTTGGTAACTGTATATAATTTTTACATATGTTTGTACATAGTTTCCCTTGTTTTTTTGATTTCATCATCTCTGCGTTCATTACTCGTTGACTATTAATCTGCTCAGCCTAACGTTTTTCCGGTTTTTTCACATACTTACTGGTTGTTTCACAGTCCTGTCTGTTTTTCGCCCCCCCCCCTTTCTACAGCTCCAGAATTTTCTATCTCATCAGATATAACTTGCCGTTGACCTTGACCTTATTGTTAATCCTGGATTTCAAATCTTCATTTATTTCTACATGTTTTAAGTACGCTATATCATTATCACTACTACGACTACTGATATTCGATTCCAGTTGTAGGCTGTGTTGCAGCTGATGAAAGGTCATGAAATAAACTGATCTCAGTATATTCTGCAAATATCTTCATTTTCTCATTGTTCAAATATGCCAAGGCGACTGACTAAATGGATGATTATTACCATTTAGTTAATTTCATGTTGGAATTCATCATGGATTGACATCATGGCTGGGTCACGCGTGCGTACTGCTGAGGAGTCCCCATATTAGGACAAAACATCCAGTGCTTTCACGTTTCCAGTGTTCCTCCAACTGATGACAAGTCCATGATGAATTCGAGCCTGACCCGACGTAGTGACTCCAATAGTAAAGTGTTGGACACTGAGCCTCAAGGTCCTGGGTTCGACCCCTGAGGGGCAGGATCACAGGTACACACTGCTGAGGAGTCTCATGCTAGGATGAAACAGCTGTCCAATGCTATCAGCTGATGGTAATCTATGATGTATTCCAACCTGAAATCAATTAGTAAGCCTACAAATTGAATTACCGTTTAGGACAATCCACGATACGTTTTTGTGTGCTGTTGAGCTAAAGTGCTCACTTGAACTGAAACAATTCCTTTATTTATTTCCAAATATCTTTTGGCTTGGTCAAATAATCATAACTGGTATTTCCGCTGTTTATGCCCTAGAGACTAGGAATTTTTCATCGATAACGAACTATTTGTGAATAATTCATTTACCTACTTATAAGTAGTGCATTTCACCTTAGTTAATTAACTTCAATGTTTTTCTTCTATGTTATGTGACTATTTATCTGATTTGTTTATTTTTCTCTTGTTTTGTTTATATTTTAATTTTTCTTTCTTTTCTTATCATTTAATTATATTATAGATTATTTGATGTTGGTGGACAACGATCTGAGCGTAAGAAATGGATTCATTGTTTTGAAGATGTGACAGCAATTATCTTTTGTGTTGCTATGAGTGAATATGATCAAGTATTACATGAAGATGAGACAACAGTATGTTGTTCTAAAAGAAATAAGAGTTACACTATTTATTCTCTTTCAGTCTTTATCTTTATACAATAAAGGCATGTCTTTGTTTTGTTATCTGCTCAGAGTGTATTATATTCATGAATTGTGATATTTATGATGCTGAAAGATGACAGAATACTTCATAGGATGATCATTTTGTTGCTATAATATTATGATGAACAGTAAATAGTGTTGGTCTTGAGGATCGTCATCATATTGCTCACTTGTGATGGATTTACGAATTGGGCAATTTCACAGTGTTATACGCTTTAATTCATTTGCAAGCTGTAGGTAACTTGTAAACGAGGAAGAGCTGCAGGACCAGACGGACTAACTTCAGAAGTATACAAAGATAGTCGTAAGGTACTCTTAGTCAGGTTAACATTAGTATTAACTACTTTATGGGAATCAAATACGATCCCTTCTGACTGGTCAAAGTCACTAATTATCCCAGTCTTTAAGAGAGGCGAGAAGTCTTCAAGTGATAACCACAGAGGAAATCAGTATTCTAAATTCTAGGTTCTATAATTCTTCAACGCCTGAGTGGAGCTCGTAAACAACAAGCCCGAGAAAACCAGACAAACTTTAGACTTGGCTGCGGGTGTGTTGACCGAATATTCACACTGCGCCAGGTTTTGGAACACAGACACGCTTACTGACGCCCGACAATAGTTGTATTTCCCGACCTGAAGGTGGCGGCATTTGATTCCGTTGACCGAGAAGTCTTATGGCAGTGTCTCTCACTGAAAGGCGTCCCGAGTAAGTACATCACCTTATCGAAAGCTGTCTACTCGAACACTTGTGGGCACGTTAGAGCCTATAGTGAGATATCTGGGGAGCTGTACTCGTCAAGTGGTGTTCGTCAACGATGCCCACTGTCTCCATTCTTATTCAATTTTATCATAGATGTTCTTATGGAGGTCTTCCTCTCGTCACCTGATTACACAGAGGTTGATCTAATCGGTGGAGAATTTTCATTAGACCTAGAATATGTAGATAACATAACATAGTGGTGTTAGATGAAGACACTGACTGATGAGATGCAGAGTCTTGTGAACACTTTGATTGGGAATTTGAGAATGTTTGGGATGTGTTTTTCCCCACCCAAATGCCAAATAGTTGCTCCAGCATTGGTCTTCAATGGTGCCCCACTGCGGCTAATAATAGACAGTGCAGTGGTTGACTGTGTCGACCACTTCACTTGCCTGGGAAGTGGGATCAGCCTTGTCCTGGGGTAGAAGAGAAACGAACCAGTGGCTGGAGACCGACTCTAAGTGATCACATGGCTGAGAAACGATGTGAGTGGCGCAGATATATCCCCACACACATGATCCTCATCTTAACGACTCTATACCGAATCTCACCATCTTCTCACTCTTTCTCTCTCTCTGTCTTTTAGTACTTTATATTTCTTTTGACTGAATTTTCTTTTCTTCTTCATCTTCGACTTCACTGCGTTTTTACTTGATGTGGTGGTATGAGGTGTGGCGGGAAGTTGGATCGTTAGGCAGTAATGCCTGGTCCTCGAAGATCTACAGGCAAAAACCAACAAGTTCACAGAACAGGCAGCCATAACGGGAATTCCTTCAAGTGAACATAGAGAAGACAAAGGTGATGAAGATACCCAACCAACCAACCAACCAACGACAACAAGCACCGATCACCATTAACGGGAGAAACCTAAAGGAAGTAGTCTATTTCACCTACCTACCTAGGAACCATCGTTTCAACTACAGGCGGTACAGGTACCCATGATGATATCAAAGCCAGCAGCCAGCCAGCGAGCCAACATCGGAAAGACAGCAACACAGACCTTCATGCACCAATCAGAAACCAGTGTGGAGATCCACTACACTCAGCATAATACGTGAACAACATCCGAATTTCCAACACTAATTCAGTCAGTCAAGTGAGTCAGTGCTTCTATGTGATGCTTCAGAGAGTTGGTGTGTAACAACGCGAAAAGCATTTCCCACAAACCACACACATACATCACATCAACAACTGCCGCCTACGCTCGATGCTGAAGATGGATCAGATCAGATGACCAGAATAATGAGAATAAGCAGCAAGGATCTCTGGCTGGTTGGCTATCTGGCAACGAACCAACCAACAACCTATCACCCAACAAATATGCACAAGGAGAAAGTGGAGCTGGGTTGGATTGAACATGCACTGAGAAGACCATTTGGGGAGATCACACGTCAGGTGAGGCCGTCGAGTGGAATTCAAAGAGGAAATGATGAGTTGGGCGTCGGAGGCGAGTGTGACATTGAGGAGATGGTGTGAGGAAGAAATGAAATGTTGTGGGCAGTGGTGGAGCGAGGTTAAGAGAGAAGATTGCAGAGAATAGAGTGAAATGTCGAGGTGCTACTGAACCCCTATGTTACATTGGTAAAGCAAGGTACAAATAATAATAATGTCTATTTTGTACTACTGTGAAGTGTGACAACTTGTGGATATGCACTTTTGTATGGTATTCTACATTGACTTTGTATTTGTTTGTATCAATCCAGAGGCATTTTTATCATCATTAGTATCATTCTATCAATTTGTTTACACATGTGATAGGTGACAACGATAATTTACTTTTCCACTGTGCGTGGGCATAGTGATACTTAGGCTCAGTAGACACCTCAACCGAATATTGTTACAACTGACTTCAGTTCCCTCTACTTTACTGAGCCACGAAGATGTCAGGATACAAAAGACTGGCCTTGTGACTGTAAGAACAACAACCTTATTTATACTGGGTGATGATTGAAGGGGATATGAAAATCTGGACCTTTAATCATCATTCATTATAAATACTAGTCTACCGAACTACGGTTATCTCAGATAGTCAAACGACAACCTTATTTGATAAATCCTCGGTATTTATATATCTACAAAACCTTCAGAAAATGAAGCCATAAATAGACCAATCCGATTGGCTGTATGACGTTGAATTTGTCCAATCAGGTTATCATGTCAGTGTACATATATATGAATCATGATGTGAAAGCAATTTCTCTATTGGCTGCCTTTTTACCGCTACCTATCAATAATAATAATAATAATAATAATAATAATAATAATAATAATAATAATAATAATAATAATAACAATTATAATTATTATTATTATGGTAGTAGTAGTAATAATAATAATACTAGTAATCGAAATAGTCCCATTGGATAAAGAAAATTAATAAAAAAAGACGATCAAGCGAAGAAAATTTTCTTTTCGACGAACCATTTTGAGAAGCTGTACCGTGTCGTAATCATAGTCACAACAAAAGATATGTATATATCCATCAATGGCTAATGGGTCGGTGAAAAGTCATTAAAAAAGGTTAATAAGGTTAGAAGGAGATAACGACCAGAAGGTCAGCACAAGATCATCAAAAACTACTTATAGGGAAGGATTACAGGAAATAAATAAAGGAACTGAATAAACTGTCTTTAGGAGATTACTATCATGGCGAAATCAAAGACTCAATGTAACTCATTGGAACATGAAGAGCAGGCGTATAGTACTGGAATTCCCGGAGCTTCTGTTGTGTTTAGGTGGCGAATACGCACTCCCTTCGAAATGTTTACCTTCACTTTAAAAATGACTTTGAAGGAAGACTTTCATGGAGTACAGTGACCTGAGATAACAAAATCGACCTGTTAACGTCTTCCCACTGTCCTCTAGACAGATATGCAGGATAGTGATCGAAGATGCGTTTTTGTAGAACACTCCTTGTACGGCCTGTGTAACCAACTCCATATGAGCAGGTGAATTGGTAAACACACATGGAGGTGGCCCAAAACAATGGTTTGTCCTGGGCATCCCTTCGAATCAGTTATTGACTGGCGAAAACAATCGGAAACTGAACGGAAAAGAAGATCTTCTTCAGTGCTTCTCATGGTTGATTCTTCAATATTTCTACCAATGTATCTCCTTTGAATTCAATATTCATAAATGGTGTCCTCTCTGGGACTGTAGGTGGCTTCTTCCTTGAAATTCTTACGCTTCACTTTCCTCTCAATGAATCCTGTAAGATAACTATTCTCGATGAACATTCTTCAAAGTATTTCCAGCTTCTCACTTACTTTATCATCCGTACAAATTCTTGTAATTCATGCGCATCTTATGACTATTTTTTGAGATGAATACGGATTTCACTTTTTAGTTACTATTCATCACGGACTGACATCAGTTGGGGAACCATTGAAAACTTAGGAGTCATTGGACAGCTCTTTCTTTCTAGTATGGGACTCCCATTTAGGGGTCGAACTTAGGACCTTCAGGTGTAACAGTGAACGCGCTGGATCAGAGTTCAATCGTTCACAGTTCCCAATTTCTGTCAATTCATGATATACCGTGACTATCAACCAAGGTTTTCAGTTGACATACGTTTCTTTTCTGACTGGTTGACCCCACAGGTCTAATGACAAGTCGTGACCTTTGGGGTCAACCAGTTAGAAGGACAGTGGATGGCAACTGAAGACCTTGGATGATAGTCGTGCTATGTCGTGAATTTACAGAAATTGGAAACTGTGAACCGTTGAACTTGAACTCAGTGGCTGAATGGTTTGCACGTTCGCCTGAGTTCGAACCCTGTGACTTTATTGACCCATTTTACTCTACGTGCGTATGTATAAGTGATTGATTTGATGAGTGTAGTATACTTATCTGGTATAAAGTTTGAGTAAAACAATGATATGAAGTAATTAAACAGGTGATAATGATAAGCAAGGATTCTGTGTAGTGATGTAGTACTAGTAGAAGGGAGGTACTTGATCAACCATGATTGAATTATTTGTCTCATTCATTTGTATAGTTAGTCTTTAGTGTATTTCATCTTTTTCTGTTTTCTTCATTCACCTTATTTTTATATTTTACTTTCCTAGAATCGTATGCAAGAATCGTTGAAGTTGTTCGATTCAATTTGTAACAATAAATGGTTCACAGATACAAGTATTATATTGTTTTTAAATAAAAAGGATTTATTTGAAGAGAAAATTAAACGTTCACCTTTAACTATCTGTTTCCCAGAATATCCAGGTGAGTAGTTCGAATCCGGCTATCTAATTCTTGTATACATGCTATTATAATGAAGGAGAAACAAAGCATTGATTACGACTTATTTTAAACCCTACTGTGTGTGTGTGTGTCCAGTTATTGTAAACAGTTTCATTGCAATAACATTCAGTTGCGTAATCCAACTGGTTTCATCTACTTCAGTGTAGAGGGGGTCAGTGAGTATCTTTCAATCCCCGCCCCCCCCTGTGTGTGCATACTTCGTGTATGTTTTATAGAGTTATGGTACACTAACATGGACTCGGTTGATGTAAGCTAGGACTGATTAGTTAATGCAAGGATCTAAACAAGGAACAGAGGAATATTAAAAAAAAGCCCCAATAGTTAATAATTATCCTCCACAGTTTATCAAGAAGTTCACATGAGGACACAAGAAATGAAAAGATAACCGTTACACAAGTACGAATAATAACGACACCACAAATAGAAAGGAGTTCACAGCCTCCAATGTGTTAGCCTATAAAAAGGGTACATCAGAAACTTTACGTAGGATGCTCAACAAATCTGGAATCAGGGTGGCGTTCAAACGTAGAGATAAGCTTTTTCGGCTGGCTTAATAATCTGATAAAAGGAATTAATCAAGATAATCTAATCTATCAAATTCCATGTAATGACCGTGAGTCAGATCAAGTACATCATTATCAACATAGGACCAGGGATTACTGTGTAACTCTCCGAGTTGTCACAGCTCACTACAGTACATCAAGTAAAAAGGCAGTGAGGTGCAAGATCAAGATAAGAGAATGCAGTCAAAAGAAATGTAAAGTACGAGGAGAAAGAAAGGAAGAATGACAAAATGGTGAGATTCGATATAGTGTCGTTAAGATGAGGATAATGTGTGTTGGGATACATCTGTGCCATTCACATCGGTTCTCAGCCATGTGATCAACTAGAGTCAATCTCCAACCACTGGTTCCTCTTGTCCCGCCGACCCCAATCACCTAGTCTGCATCGCCCTACATGGCTTAAACCAACAGTCAGAGACTTCATACATTGGTGCCATGTTTTAGTCTGACCACCTCAGGCCTTTTCCCAGCCTGAATCTACTTCGGTCAACATTTTGTGACGAGACAATCGGTGACTAGGCATACGTAGTACGTGTCGGAGCCAACCATCTCAATCGATGAAGGTTCATAACCTCGTCAACTGATTAACCTCTACTCCCTAAAAAAACTCTTCACATGAGTCTGACTTGTGCATTACTCACATGGTGACACCACGGAATACGCCTCATACTACGAAGGCAACGGTGGTCAAACACCGGCAGCCAGCCTTCTCATGTCTTCCACCTTTAATGGCCATGTTTCACAGCGACAGAGTAGAACAGACCGGACTGCTGTGCAGTACATGCGACCCTTAATAGACAAACAGATATCACGGTGGCGCCATAGGTGGCGTAAATTTACTGAATACTTTGACCTATGTACTTGATCAGCTGTACCACGGCTAACAATAGAGAGTGAAGTGGTTGAGTGCGTCGACCATTTCACTTATCTGGGAAGCAGGATCAGCCCTGCTGCACTGGTCAGTTGCCAATGAAATTTCTGCACAGATACAAAAGGCTCGATTGGCTTTCGCCAATTTACGCCATCTATGGCGCCGCCATGATATCTGTTTGTCTATTAAGGGTCGCATGTACTGCACAGCAGTCCGGTCTGTTCTACTCTGTCGCTGTGAAACATGGCCATTAAAGGTGGAAGACATGAGAAGGCTGGCTGCTGGTGTTCGACCACCGTTGCCTTCGTAGTATGAGGCGTATTCCGTGGTGTCACCATGTGAGTAATGCACAAGTCAGACTCATGTGAAGAGTTTTTTTAGGGAGTAGAGGTTAATCAGTTGACGAAGTTATGAACCTTGATCGATTGAGATGGTTGGCTCCGACACGTACTACGTATGCCTATTCACCGATTGTCTCGTCACAAAATGTTGACCGAAGTAGGTCCAGGGTGGAAAAAGGATCAAGGTGGTCAGACTAAAACATGCCATCAATGTATGAAGTCGTTGACTGATGGTTTGGGCCATGTCGGGCGAAGCAGACCAGACAGTTTGGGTCCGTGGAACAAGAGAAACCAGTGGCTGGAGACTAGGGGATATGGCTCAGAACCGATGTCAGTGGTGCAGATGTATCCCCACACACATTATCCTCATCTTAACGACACTTTATCGAATCTCACCATTTTGTCATTCTTCCTTTCTTTCTCCTCGTACTTTACATTTCTTTTGACTGCATTCTCTTATCTTGATCTTGCACCTCACTGCCTTTTTACTTGATGTACTGTAGTGAGCTGTGACAACTCGGAGAGTTACACAGTAATCCCTGGTCCTATGTTGATAATGATTACAGGTGCTTTTCTTTCCATGTGTTCAACTTATTATTTGTGAATAAATTTTCAAAAATATATTCTTCTTGATGCAATGGTACAGTTTATAATCTATTTGTATTACACGTACTTTTCCATTTCATTAAAAGGTTGATGAGCGGTTATAAACCAGATAGTATTTAATAGTTGTTATATCATTATTCAGTTTGACTATCCGGATGAGATGATGGATAGCAGCTGTAGTTTATCAAACTAGTATTATTGATATTGTGTGATGATTGAAAGTGAAATGAAGAATTTGAACCGTGACTGGACTCGAACCAGCAACCACCAGGTTTCCAGCTCGATGCTCTGCCAACCACAATGATTTCGTCATCAATCTGATGATGAATATGATGCTTCTTTCTTTCTAATTCTATTAGATATGGATCATGTGAAGTTCTGATTATGCAGCATGAATACGATCAAGCAATATTAACGCATCACGAATTCATATGGGAGTCGGGCAACTCCGCCCACCCCCTCTTTGGTCACCAATCGGGTCTGTTAACTCAGTCATTTCATGGTGTGTTTCTTGTCGATCAGGTTAAACATTCCCATTTTTCCTTCCTCCTTAATTTTGCGTTGACTACATAACTTTGTCAGATAGGCTAGTTATAGTATCATGTCCTAATGATTATAATTATTTGTACTTTGGGTTCTTAGTGAAATATAGGTTCTCAGTAGTACCTCGACATTTCGCTCTATTCTCTGCAATCTTCTCTCTTAACCTGGCTCCACCACTGCCCACAACATTTCATTTCTTCCTCACACCATCTCCTCAATGTCACGCTCGCCTCCGACGCCCAACTCGTCATCTCCCCTTTGGATTCCACTCGACGGCCTCACCTGACGTGTGATCTCCCCAAATGGTCTTCTCAGTGCATGTTCAATCCAACCCAGCTCCACTTTCTCCTTGTGCATATTTGTTGGGTGATAGGTTGTTGGTTGGTTCGTTGCCAGATAGCCAACCAGCCAGAGATCCTTGCTGCTTATTCTCATTATTCTGGTCATCTGATCTGATCCATCTTCAGCATCGAGCGTAGGCGGCAGTTGTTGATGTGATGTATGTGTGTGGTTTGTGGGAAATGCTTTTCGCGTTGTTACACACCAACTCTCTGAAGCATCACATAGAAGCACTGACTCACTTGACTGACTGAATTAGTGTTGGAAATTCGGATGTTGTTCACGTATTATGCTGAGTGTAGTGGATCTCCACACTGGTTTCTGATTGGTGCATGAAGGTCTGTGTTGCTGTCTTTCCGATGTTGGCTCGCTGGCTGGCTGCTGGCTTTGATATCATCATGGGTACCTGTACCGCCTGTAGTTGAAACGATGGTTCCTAGGTAGGTAGGTGAAATAGACTACTTCCTTTAGGTTTCTCCCGTTAATGGTGATCGGTGCTTGTTGTCGTTGGTTGGTTGGTTGGTTGGGTATCTTCATCACCTTTGTCTTCTCTATGTTCACTTGAAGGAATTCCCGTTATGGCTGCCTGTTCTGTGAACTTGTTGGTTTTTGCCTGTAGATCTTCGATTTTGTGCGGCAAGACATTAGACCTAAATTGTCATCTTTGGCGAAATCCAAATCTTCTTCTGTGGTCTTTTCTTCGGTCCAGCCAGAGTATGCCTATGTTCTCGCAGCTCCTCATGGTTTGCTGCATGATGCAGTCGACGACACTCGGGAAGATGATGGATGATAGTAGGTGGCAGCCTTGTCTTACTCTTGGTGTTGTAGTTCAACGATGATTAGCCTAATGTGGAGGTTTATCAGGATTCATTGATTTCATATCGATATTCATCACAAACTGACATCTCCTGGAGAACGCCTTAAAATCTGAAAGCACTGTACATGTTTTTCGTTGTTGTACGGGATGTCTCGGTAGCGTGCACCCATAAACCTCCCATGAATCGAGCGCAGAACCTTCAGATTCCGTGACCAGTAGGTTACCATTAAGCCACTGGGTCGGAATCGAATGGTTCATATTTCTATCACTTCACTGGATAACGTGACTTCCATCCAATGGTGTTGTTAAGTAAACTATCTTCAGATTCGACAATATTTGATGAAGATTGCGCTATTTTTGTGAACTAACAGAAATAGGAAATGTGTATCATTGGATTGCTGTGTGAGAGAGGCTCAATGGCTCAAATGTGTACGCTGCAGGTTTGTAACACATAAAGGAAATATTTTTTGCTATATACTTATGCTACTCACAAATTTTGAGTAGTCACTCTGTGAATTAATATTTGTAAGTGTGGAAGAAGGGTTACCTTGTCAAACTGCCGAAGAAGGGAGACCTCAGTGCTTGCAAGAACTGGCGAGGAATCACTCTCCTATCCACCCCAAGTAAAATATTAAGCCGCATCATCCTGGAGAGGCTTAAAGACGCACTGGATTCAAAACTGCGACCGGAACAGGCAGGCTTCAGGAAGTACAAATCATGTGCTGACCAAATTGCAACGCTTCGTATCATCATAGAACAGAGCGTAGAATGGCAATCAGCTCTATACCTCAACTTTATCGACTTTGAGAAGGCCTTTGACAGCGTCGACCGAGAGGTAATTTGGAAACTGCTTCACTACTACGGAGTACCGCAAACCTTTATCCGCCTCATTCAACAACTATATGAAGATGCTACATGCCAAGTAATCCACAATGGGAAGTTCAGTGATGCCTTTGAAGTGAAGACAGGAGTGAAACAAGGTTGCCTACTATCCCCATGATATTCCTTATTGTGGTGGACTGGATCATGCAGCAAACAGTAGGCAGCGAGAAGAGGGGGATACACTGGACGACGGAAAAGAACCTAGAAGACTTGGATTTCGCCGATGACTTTTGCCTGATGTCACATAAACTTGAAGATCTGCAGGCGAAAACTAACAAGTTGACAGAAGAGACAGGGCAGCGAAGGGAGACGGGACTTCAGGTGAATATAGAGAAGACAGAAGTGATGAAGATACCGCACCACCACCAACAACAAACTCCAGTCACCATCAATGGGAGAAACTTAAAGGAAGTAACCTCCTTCACCTATCTAGGAAGCACTGTTTCAACTACAGGCGGGACGGACGAGGACGTCAAAGTCAGAATCGGGAAAGCAAGACAGGCATTCATTAGCCTGAAACCAGTGTGGAGATCTTCTGCACCCAGCATGCGGAACAAGATACGGATTTTCAACACCAACGTCAAGTCAGTGCTCTTGTATGGCTCAGAGACTTGGCGCGTCACGAAAGGCATTTCCAATAAACTACAGACATTCATCAACAACTGCTTACGCTCGCTGCTGAAGATCAGATGGCCAGAAAAAATAAGCAACAAGGAACTCTGGGAACGAACCAACCAAGAACCTATCACGCAACAAATATGCAGGAAGAAGTGGAGATGGATTGGGCATACACTGAGAAGGCCGACTGAGGACATCACGCGTCAGGCCCTCGAGTGGAATCCCCATGGGAAGCGACGAGTTGGACGTCCGAAGGTGACATGGAGGAGGTCGTGCGAGGAGGAAATGAGAGGTTGTGGGCTGTCGTGGAACCAGGTTCAAAAGATCTCAGAGAACAGAGGTCACTGGAGGCGTGCTACTGAAGCCCTATGTTCCACTAGGAACCCAAGGGACTAATAATAAGTGTAAATGTAATAGTTAGCCTTATTAAAGTAATTATTGAATTGCAACCTTTTTTTTCTCAACTATAGGAAAACAGACATATGAAGAGGCAGCAATTTATATTCAGGCATCATTTGAAGCTAAAAATCGATCACCGAATAAAGAGATCTACTGTCATCAAACATGTGCAACTGATACAAATAATATACAATTTGTATTCGATGCTGTTACAGATGTGATTATAGCCAATAATCTGAAAGGATGCGGTCTGTATTGATCTCCGCCTCCCACCCCCGTTGGCACCCTTTAACTCTGTATTACTTTCATGCTTTGTTTTATTCTTTTGGTTCAGTTGTTTGTGTGTTTTCTCTGCCCAATTTTACTCTGTCTCTCTGGCGCGCACACACACCAACAAGTCATACTTACATCTCTTTTTTTACATCATTGCTTATGTACACACACATACACGCGTATGTTTCCATGGTTTGTCGTTAAAATGACTTTCTCTCTCTCTCTCTCACACACACACACGTTTTCTCTCTTTGCGTTTTCGTATTTCCTATTGGATCAACACTATGTCAGTATATAATGGACAGTTCTTTTTTCCTCATACTACTACTACGGTACAATTTGCTTGCAATTTCATATCATCTTTATGTGTGTTTATTCAATGGAGAAAAATTGATCGATCGATTAAGAATTAGACATGTCAATGAGTGAGTGAATCACTCCTCTCAATTTGAAATATCACCGTTGAATAGCTTTTTTGTTGTTGTTGTTGTGAAAAGTGAATATCTTTTGAGAAGTGAGTATACACTGCCATTCACTCAGTTAGCGTTTCTTTTCTCGTTTCATTTTTTTGTATGTAAACTTTTAAGTATGAAAAAAAATTGATGATAAACGCCTTTAATTCCCCCCCTCCCCCCTGTGAAAGCACAAACAAAGTACACATTTCATCCTCCAGTATAATATTTTCTTATTTGTTTGTTTGTATGTTTTCTCCGAAACCCCCTTGTCTGCTTACTCTTCATATATATTTCATGTAAAATTCTTCTGTTGACTAGTTTAACTTTTTCTCATTGTTTTTCTATATTTCTAATTGATTTTACTGTCAATTTTAGACAAAACAAATCTAATTGAGAAGAATAAGAAGTGAAATCATAATATCTAAGTTAGGGATTAAGTAACTCGTTTGTTTTTGTCTTCTCATATCATTGTCTCTCTTACTCTTCACACATGTATGTGTCTTTCGTGTGAATTAGTTGAAAAGTGTATTTCCAGTTTGCATAATTCATTATCATCAAGTAGAATGCAATGCATATGTATACATATATCTACTTATGACTTGAAAAAAAATTTCTTCAACCTGTTTTACAAGAATCGAAAGAGAAAAAAAAAGTGATCTTTATCATCTAAAAATAGCTTCTTCCTGCTGCATATATCTGTGTGTATGTCCTTATAAAGCGCATACGTGTTTGAAATGACTTGATCGATATGTCAGTCTGTATATCGATCATTGAATCGATAACACCTACGCTCATTTTATAACTTTACTAGACAAACTGCTTCTTTATATATATATACACACACATTCATGTTGTTAGCTTCATTTTGATTGGTTGAATTTCTTTGTCTATTTGTTCTCAATTGGTATTCTTGAGAGGAGTATTTTCCACCTCCATCCCTTGGTATATATATATATATATATACAGGTGAGTGGGATAAATAATATTCACACGTATGTAAACAAACGTTTTACTTTTTCTCTGTGTGTTTTGTGTACTGCACACATATGCGCCTGTTATAAAAAATCTATTGTACGCCAATAGGATTCTATCATGAAACAAAGAAGGACACATCATTACCGGATTTTTGCTAATCTATATTCGTTTATTGGCTGTTCTGTTTTCTGCTTTTCATCTAAAGTATAGATATATGTTTTAATGAATTTTTTTTTCATAAAGGCAGAAATATTAAACTACAAATGTGTGTAACATGTAGTCGATTATATTTCTACGGTTGATATCATTACTACTACTACTCCGTTTTTTTGTGTCATTTCAATTGAATCATGTCTCGTAACAGAAGTGTCTTCTTCTGATTTGATTGGTCGATTTCCTTGTCGGCTAAATGCATATGCACACCATTTGACCTTTTTATCATTGTTTGTACGCATATACGTTGTGTGTGTGCATGCATGCGGTATTGTTCAAGGGTGCGAGATAATCAACAAGAATGACAATAAACGTAGGTGATGAACTAGTCTGTATGACTACTGTGCACACACATTTGTTTTTTTCTTGCTCTGAATGTTTCACGCACGGATTTGTCCTGTTTAAAATCTTCTTTTTTCTTCTTTCCTGTCTCGTTTTGTTGTCTCAATGCTGATAGAACAATATTATACATGTAAATTATCCGCTTCTGAGACAAGACAGTGATAATGATATATAATAACAACAGTATGGAAAACAATAAATTGTTTTTGTGTGCGTGCTCGGTTGAACATCTGTATCCAGTTACCAGTAGTTATCTATTGGTTTTAATGCACTCGAGAGTTAACCGTGTTGTTCTTCAGTTACGAACGACCACCTTGCTGATCGTCTAGCCAGATTCAAGTGATGTGAACTAATTTGGTTATATGGGCTGGCTTGGCCACAAACGAGCAAAATTACCGTCTGGTGGTTAGATCACTCTGATCCGACTGCATAAGGGCTTTTTAACTACTCAAGTTGTTCAACAGTAGTATCTTTTACAATTTCACGCATCTATACATTACGTTCATATTACCATCATATTGCATTTCATTAATGTTGAACCCTGACATGCTTTCTTCTCATAACTTCCTACGACTTCTGATTACATTTTTTTCCCTAACTCCCACCTTGTTGTGGTGTGTGCACCAAATGCTACATCCCATGTTGGTCATTTAGTGACCAGTTGAATTGTAGTCTCTGTGCATACATATCTGGCTGTACACTAGGTGACGATAAGGTGTCCGAAGTATTGTCTACCTGTTTACTGTACGAAGGTTATCATCGTATATCATATTTCCTGTCTAGTATGCTTCAGGAAGTACAAATCATGTGCAGACCAAATTGCAACGCTTCGCATCATCATAGAACAGAGCATAGAATGGCAATCAGCTCTCTACCTCAACTTCATCGACTTTGAGAAGGCCTTTGACAGCGTCGACCGAGAGGTAATTTGGAAACTGCTTCATTACTATGGAGTACCGCAAACCTTTATCCGCCTCATTCAACAACTATATGAAGATGCCACATGCCAAGTAATTCACAATGGGAAGCTCAGTGATGATTTTGAAGTGAAGACAGGAGTGAAACAAGGTTGCCTACTAACCCCCCCCCCCCCCCCGATTGTGGTCGACTCGACTGGATCATGCAGCAAAGAGTGGGGAGCTGTGAGAAGAGGTGGATACGCTGGCTGGACTGCGGAAAAGAACCTAGAAGACTTGGATTTCGCTGATGACATGTGCCTGATATCGCATAAACTTGATGATCTACAGGCGAAAACTAACAAGTTGGCAGAAGAGGCAGGGCAGCGAAGACGGGACTTCAGGTGAATATAGAGAAGACAGAAGTGATGAAGATACCGCACCAACAACAAACTCCAGTCACCATCAACGGGAGAAACTTAAAGGAAGTAACCTCCTTCACCTATCTAGGAAGCACTGTTTCAACTACAGGCGGGACAGACGAGGATGTCAAAGCCAGAATCGGAAAAGCAAGACAGGCCTTCATTAGCCCAAAACCTGTGTGGAGATCTTCTGCACTCCACTCAGCATGTGGAACAAGATCCGGATTTTCAACATAAACGTCAAGTCAGTGCTTCTGTGTGGTTCAGAGACTTGGCGCGTCACGAAAGGGATTTCCAATAAACTACAGACATTCATCAACAATTGCTTACGCTGGGTCGCTACTGAAGATCAGATGGCCAAAATAGTCAGAATAAGCCAGAAGGAGCTGTGGAAACGAACCAATCAAGAACCTATCACGCAACAAATATGCAGGAGGAAGTGGAGATGGATTAGGCATACACTGAGAAGGCGGACTGGGGACATCACGCGTCAGGCCAGTTGCTCGAGTTGAATCCCCATGGGAAGCGACGAGCTGGACGTCCGTGGTGAGGGTGACATGGAGGAGATCGTGCGAGGAGGAAATGAGAGGTTGTGGGCTGTCGTGGAGCCAGGTTCAAAAGACTTCGGAGAAGAGAGTGCACTGGAGACGTGCTAGTGAAGCCCTATGTTCCATTAGGAACCCAAGGGACTAATAATAATAATAATGCTTGTTCATTGATTTGTTCAGTCAGTGATTACAGAAAGGTATACAGAGAGATAGATAATAGAACCGCTAAGCAGAATTATTTAATTTATAGGTTTATAAGGATTTTTTAAGGAGACTAGGGATTGTGTCTGTGGATTCAGATGGTTGTCGAAGGTTGGATAGCTAGGAGGAATTGAAGATGATGTAGTATGGTTAATTGAGAGACGTGAAGGAAGATTAGAAGGTACTGGTGAGAGAGGTGGATAGCAGTCTGAATAGACTTGAGTGGTGACAGAGTTGTGAAGGTGGTTGAAGTTTCCCGGCTGCCCACATCATGCATGGCACCTCTGTGATATCCGATTGTCTATTAAGCGTCGCGTGTACTGTATATGCACAGCAGTCCAGTCTGTTCTACTGTATGGTTGTGAGAGACGGCCGTTGAAGGTGGAAGACATGGGAAGGCTGGGTGTAGGTGTTTGACCACCGTTGTCTTCGTAGTACAGACCTTGTGTCATGGTGTCACCACGTGAGTAACGTAGAAGTCAGTTTGAGGTGTAGAGTTTTAGGGAGGGAGAAGAGGTAAGTCAGTTGACGAGGTTGTTAATCTTCATCGACTGAGATAGTTGGTTCTGACATGTGTTGCGTATGCCTAGTCGCCGATTGCCTCATCACACAATGTTGACCGAAGTAGGTTCGGGCCAGACTAAAACATGACATCAATGTATGAAGTCTCTTTTCGTACTTTACATTTCTGACTGAATTTTCTTTTCTTCTGCATCTTTCACTTCACTGCGTTTTTACTTGATGCGCTGATATGAAGTATAGCTAGTCGGAGGGTTACGCAGTAATGCCTGGTTCGATGTTGACTTGGATGGGGATTTCAAGTTGATATTGAGTTTGTTCGGGGTGAGACTTCCTGATGTTTTAATGACAAGTCGTCGCTGGTAGGGTGAGCCAAGTCGGATGAGAGAACAAAGTATCCAACGACAGCATTAGA